TTATAACGAGTTATCACTTCTTGTTGTCTGCGTTGTTTGATACCATCACATAGCCATCACGATAAGTAGCGTTCAGAATCGCTTTTAATTTGGCAAGTATCAAGATCGAACTTCATATTGAAAGATTTATGTAATAACACTCGCTAATAAAAAGACAAACAAAATAAATTATAACAATTAAGGACATTATGACACTTAATAAAGAAGAATTAGAAGAAGTAAACAAAAAGAGAAGAACAAATGTGCAAAAACAAAATGAATTCAGTTAACTACAAAGGATACAACAACAATGATAGCAACAAATGACTCGGCAAGATAAGAATGTATGCTAGTGAAATTTAATTAAATTTAGTTGAATACAGAGTGCAAGCATGGCTTGAGGACCATTGTCTGAAACTCGCTACAGTAAAGACAGAGCTGATCCTTCTGACAAAAAGGCACATACCTTTAGAGGTCGACATGCAAGTCCTTGACACAACGCTGACGATAAAAATGGTGGTGAAGTACTTAGGTGTACAACTAGATCGTCGTTTGATATTTTGGGCGCATATAAAAAACGCCGCTGAAAACGCTGGGCGAGTATCGGGAATACTAAGCAAACTGATGGCAAATATTTGAGGTCCAAGCTAAAGCGAGCGTAGAATGCTGGTGAAACGACGAACTCGATCCTTTTATACGGAAGCAAACTCTGGGCAGACACACTAAAGTCGAAAGGTCGCCGAAAAGTGCTGGATTCTGTGCAGCGCACCTGCGCACTCAGAGTAGCCTCCTCATTCCGAACGGGGTCTGGAGCAGCAGTCCTTGTTATAAGCGGAACCATCCCCATAGAAATATTAGCTGAGGAACGCAGACAATAGTGGGAAGCTAACAAGATGATGTTGCCGAGACTAAGTCCTCAAGAAGCGAAACAAGAAACCATACAGATGTTGCAAGCACGATAGAACACCGAACCAAGCGGAAGGTGGACAGCGAAACTAATGAGCTCTGTGAAGTTAGCCCCCCACTTTTACAAATAAATACTTTAACCAGTGCACATTGTAGGACTTTGTTTGTAGTTGTTTGTAGTGGATTTAAATTTGTTTGTAGTTCAACAGACAACAAAATACGATAGGTTGAAAAAATCGCCCCCACCCCACTTTCACCTACAATCAATTTGACTAGTGTACCTTGTAGGAAATCGTTTGTAG